AGACTCACAACGCAAGCGCGCTAGTGACGCGGTATTGCCACGGAACGATACTATAAGTTGAGGCTAGACCATAGCCGCGAAGATGGCCCCCTTATCATCATCATCTTAGAATACCCAACCTGGAGCCATGCGCGTTTAGGTCATGTCCTTGGTCGTGACATAGGGCCTAGGCAGAGACAAGTCAGTGCAAGGATTAGCGGAACGCGTGATGGGTTATCTACCGACCCCCTTCGCCCTCCCTATGCTGCTCCGAGATAGAAGTAGAGCGTATATATTGATTCGAACTTTGGATGATCGGGACTATGGTCGAAATTTGATCTATGCCATCTAGTGGTTTATCCTCTATGGACAGTCAATCATGTGAACCAATAGCCTCCCCGGCTCGGTGCGTCTGTTTTGCCAATATACCTAAGAGGACGTGCTATTAGTGATGATGACCTTCTGGATTGGACTAGCCCCAACACAGGCGAGTATGACTGTGAGGGATGCTCCGAGAAAACTGCAAAGAAATATAGCAAGATATATTCGCGTAAGCTGCGAACGAACAAGAGAGGAGGCATAATAAGATCCCGGCACTCCGCGCGACCCTTTGACCCGAAACGATGCTAGAAACTGGGTCCTAGATAAAATCAGCGTCGACCTTTGGTGGGATCCCGCTCCTTTTTAACTTACGTGCCTATACGCTCTGCCGTGTCAGTTACTGAATATTTACTTAACGGAAGTTTCATATAGCGCTTAATTCCACTAATATAGGCAATTTAACGGAAGTGAAATCTTAAATAATTATTTCAATTGTCTTATTGCTGCTTCGCTCGGAGTCTATTATATCAGTTTAACATAACATTACGACCCTGACTGATCCGAATAGGAACCTACACTACTCGTTAGAGCCAATTCTTTCTCCGGCCAGACCCCCTTTTTGCAGGTACTAGCCCACGAGGAGGCCTAGGGCGCAGTCGTAGAAGCCAGTCTTCGCGATCCTTCCAAACGGTATCGCCTAGGTCTGCGTGACCAACCGGATTCACTAGTAGCGTAGGAGCGGTCTACCGCCCCTCCGCGTGATGGGAGTCTTGGTACCGCCGATGTGTCAATCGAAAGGTGACCTAGCCTCCTGAGCCCGATGGTATCGTCCGAGTGCGCTCTAGGGGCCCCGGAGGCTGCCGTGGGTGGAACATAGTCTTTTCTCTCCTTGGGACAGTAGGTAGCGTATAGGAGGGGTGGTCCAAAAGGCGACGTATGTCTAGGGTCTTGCGCTGGCGCTTCCCTCTATAGGATAGTCGGGCCATTTGGGAATGGAGGATTAAGGCGAGATAGATGAGAGCAATCGAGCGGATCATCTAGAGCTATTTATCCGCCAGGCTATTGCCGCCTGGGTTCTCCTGACCGGCTATAGCTGAGTCCGACGGAAGATGCCCTTAGCTTCGATGGAACGTTCCGGTGGGAGGGCGGTGTGGGTTATATAGATAATGCTTTACGGGGCCTAATAGAGTTGATGTAAGGTACCATCAGGTTTTGAAGTAGAACTCCAGACAGCCTCACATTCTACTACGGTTTGGCCTTTATATCACCTACAGCATTTTGTGTTCTCCTATACGGCGTCGAATGAACAGCAAAATTCCTATTAGGTTCCCCCTGGTCCCGAAAAGTGCTGGACACCCATCCATCAAGGCAAAGAGGCCGGTGGGAGACATACTTATTCAGCAGATATACAAAACTGTGGTAGAGCTAGCGCGACAATAGCTATTGGGTCCTTAATCGGTCGACAACGTTTAACGTTCGAAGCACTGTAGTCGTAGTTGTCCCGGCTCTGCGAGTGCTAAAGCAACTTGTTGCGATGCTTAAGTAATTGCTACGAGCTCCCGTTAAGTAATACGACGTATTGATTAAGTAGGGGTGGACCCCCTTCGTATAGAAACATACTCTACGGGTTAGTGGTTTTTATCACTTACACTATACTATCAGTCTTGTGTCTGGGTCACTAGGTAGTCATTTTATATAGTACGTAATTCACATCTCTAGAATAAGCGCACGCATTTATTAGAATGACTCTGTCGAGCAACTAGAAGCGCGCGTAGGTGCGGCAGCAATATCGCGAGGCTCTAGTAGCGCATATTCGTAAGAGCCCACTGAAGAGATTCCGCACGCGGTTGCCTACTAAATAAGCTGCTCAGATGAACAACTAGGTCTAGCCGTTACCCCTCAACGCGTGCGCTTATAGCCCTCCCTGGAAGACGGCTACGTATAGTCTATGCTAGAAGGGAAGGAATATCTACTAGCGACTAATCTCGGTAACGGTACGGTCGGTCGCTGCCAAGACATTCAACAATCACTTAGTTCATCGCTTAAAGCGGTGGCCCCTCCGGGACTATAGCTAATAGGTGCAGACACAACATCGAATGTAGAGGTAAGTGCCTATAGTATCTTTCGTTTTAACTAGTAAGGCCATATAATAGCCCTCCTAACACGAGTAGCCTAAATCTCCGAACGCTAGCTTTATATCTTTTACAGAAACGATTCGGTAATTAGAATATGAAAAGCAAGGCCTTACGGTCGAGCTTAAACGCGAGCGGGCCCGCTCGAAGGAGCTGCTGAGTATAGACCGAGAACGGCAGGCAAAGACCTATCGTCTGGAAGAGGAGCTAGCAGAATGTAAGTCCTTGACCGAGCAGCTCGAGAAAGAGATGAGCTGGGCGAGGGATAGAATTATTGCAGCCGTGAAGGTCTTGCAGAACTCCTAATTGTTGAACGAGGATTAAGTTTTCTTATAAGCGGATAAAGAGGATTCTGGTACGCCGTTATATAGATAGTAGTCCGATGCCTATATATAGTGGAGCAATTTGTCTCACTAGACATTTCTAAAAAAGTCCAGAGCTATGGAGCGATCGCTAGTCACAGGAAAAATTAGATGCCCTAGGCGTAAAAGGCACCCATTGCCCGCGTTTTCTATAAGGGTACGGGATTCTGTATCCTAGATGGCCTGAACTTTAGCTAATGTTTGATTTCTAAGTAATGCCCAATCCTACGGAGATACAAATTCTGGTGTAAGTTTTTAGCTAGCGCGGCTGCCCTGATACCCCGACTCTATCGTATGTTGAAGATTGGAGCCTTTATCCTAAAGCACCCAAACCGGTCGGCTTCTCTCTGAATTAGTGGCTGCTGATTGGTTAGCTAAGCCTATGAAGCTATTCAGAACCAGGCTGCTACTTAGCGCCTATTTATGTAGTTTGCTCGTCCAATTCACATTCTCCTTGGGTTCCTACCTAATTCTTTTATGGACCACCGAGTAGCGGTGTGAAAGAACAGTTTTATATGAATTTCCCTTTAAAAATGGTTCTCGAGATAAGGGGTATAAATATCCCTTGGGGAACAACTAGAAAAAACCATCGCATTACTTTTTTAATTCTAGATCTATCCTCTTCCGTCTGATATTGTACTATCCCGAGTCCCTAGGTAGCTATCGAAGCTGGCCACGACCAGAATCGCTCTAGAAACCTTACCATGAGTTAACTATCCGACTATTTTGAAGTTTCCTTGCCTACCACCATTGGCGAGCCCTAGCTTCGACCTCAATGCGTTGCAATCCGAGCTGGGTACTAATGCTAAAACGAAGTTTTAAGTAACAGTCGCTTAATCGCAAGTATTGAGCTGGTTTTGGCCTAAATCTCTAATTCTCCCTGATTGCTAAGGGGTCTTTTAAAACTGTTGATGTGTCCCGAATGTGAGGCTCAAGTCTGCACTTAGGGAGGCACCTAGACATTTGGGATATAAAAGCCACTGCCACCGCCGATTGTCTTTTATGATAAACGTGTCTTTGACCTCTACCGAGAGGACTAGGTGTGGCTTCGTTCGACTTTTCATTAGATGAGCATAAGGCATACACTGGACAGGAACGAGCCACACGTTTAATGTTTGTTTCCTTTTCTGTACAAATCCATTACGATGAAGCCAAAGAAAGTACGGAAACTCTGAGAGGAAACGGTACTAATGAGCCCGTTTTAGTATCTAAGATGGCCTTTGTTTATTCCATAAAGTTCTAAGTTATTTTGGTGTGAACATCGTCCACGACATTGGCTCGCGACTGTAACCGCTCTTCTCACCCGAGCTATCGAGTAATTTTTATTCGCGATAGCAAAATAGCTTGGAAACCCTCTTTTGTGTATGTCTTAGGAAATCAGAAACCTTTTTCGTAACTCTTTTGGCTCTATGGTGGCTCTATAATACCTCGTTAGACTGTGACGTAGAACTAACTCGATGGGAGGACTGACTAGGCGAGCATTGGATTGCGAGTCAAGCAGCTTTATAGGATACATTTCTTCCGGCGAGGGCGCTTGGGATCTTCTCGTACGGTCTTCCTCCACAATAGGTTCTTCTATGGCGGAAGGAAGTAAACCGACGTATAAGGCAAGGCTCTTCTGCTCCAACGACATAGACCGATCGATAGACAATACTAACTGCAACTTATGTGTAAGGCTCTGCGCTCGAAGGATTCTGGGACTTACTATATTGGAGTGTCCGATGATGATCGCGCGTATTGGATTTGGATCGAGATTTACGCACGAGGTAAGGCCCCCATTAAAGACGGCAAGCTTTTGTAATCCGTGAGAGTACACCGCAAACAAATTCAAAGTGAGCCTACTAATAGAGTGGTCAGGGGCCTTATACCTTTTCGAATAGTCTACGCTAAGGATTGAGCGGTATTGCACGAATTCTGTAGTTTATGATTCCCTAGATAGAATTAAGTGAGATACAATTCGTTATTCTCCCTTCTTATTGTTGACTACTAAGCCCACTCCAGCTATATGGAACTAATCCCGCAACACGCCTCTTTATTGCGATATGGTCCGACCTCCTAGCTTAGGGGACCGAGTGGTGTCATTTGTAGCAATACTGCCGCTCCTATCCTCAAGGTTGGGTGGCTTGTCTGCTTCGGCTTGCCTTACCACTGAGTTGATTAATACTTCGACGGAATTAGGCTCCTCGTCACCCAATGCCATTCCATACTATCTAAGGAGGTAGTCCGTGACGGTCCTAAGCCTTCGATTGACATCGTAGAGAAGTTCGGCCACTTTGATAGTCTCGTCGAGCTCGTTGCTGGTCTGCGCTAGCGACTGTCGTACTGTAGCTAGGTTATGTTTATATTTTGCAATAATCTTTTCCGCTCGAACGCTCCGTGTGTTAAGCGTCGCAATTGTGCGAAGTACTTCCTAAGCATTGTTAGGTTCACCCTAAATACATAGGCAAAGAGGAATATACCGAGGCATCCATGTCGATAAAGCTTAGAGACGGGATAGGGGGTCGAAAGCTGGCCATGGAATCACCGTAAGCCATGAACGTATTGAGTGTGCTGCTTCTAAAGAACTCCTGTTGATGCAAAACTAGAAGATACTTATAGACAGTCGGATCGTTATACTGTCTTTCTTGACCATCAAGACATTGCTTTTATCCGTCCTTACCTGAGGGTTGTGATGTAAATACAGAAAATAGTATCATGATGCTGTGTCGCCAACTTTCATGAGTTCCTAGCAGCTAAATGATTGCTTTGCGCTTGATGTTCTGTTTCAATTCAACTATATGAAGTCGAGGATGCGTAACGCGATGCTCAATACTGTATAATTATTGTTCATCATTTAATCTTATCGCCCACCGACACATTTCATCGCACTTTCCCCATAATAGGATTGTGTCGGCGACAATTGCTAACCTAACATTATATGACTGCTACGGTACAGTTATAAAACTTAGTACTAGTCATTTGCCTGATGCCTGGGTCTTTCCCATCGGATCCTCGTATTGTCTGTCCATCACCCCATCTTGTGACTACAGCGAGCACACCATCCTATTAAAACCATGCCAAAGATTCTCTCACGGTTGACCAAGTGGTTTGGCTTAGAGGTGGTGCACGTTGTCGTTGTTCGCCGATCGCGTTATGGAGACCTCCGCTTTCTCCAGTCGACCTTTTCTCCAGATCATCCTACGGTAGGTGGGTGCCGACGACTATCTTTACTAAGCTAAAAAATGGGGATAGGAAGTGACGCTGATGCTCGAAGAAGAGGAAACAAAAGCAATGAAGGAGGCTACTTTCTGTTACAACTAGTCCCCGGGTTGAGACAAATAGGTTCCGGGTCGATATGGTGGACAATGAAGTTCGTTTAATATTTCCAGCGCTTTGGGAACTGTACTGTAAACTCCGCAAAGCGATATCATGATCAAAGATTATTTTGTATCATCGCTCAGGAAGGGGAATTGATATCATATGGGTCATTAAAGACCGCCCAAGAGTTACTTCTTGCCTATCAATTGATAGGAGATGAAGTTAAAACCCATTGTGCTGAGTTATTTGACGCCTCCCTTTTATCAGCTCGGAGAGTTGTTATTAGAAGGGCCCCCAAATTCGCTGATGACGAAGATTGAGAGTAAACCCGGTTCCTTTACAGTAATCGAGTCACCGCTGATCTCATTGTTACCTATCCTATCCTATAGGGGTTGGTGAAATGCTTTTCATTTTATTTGAGACTTTTGATTGTATATATGGCCAAAAGGTAAGCTATTAGAATATTTCATTCAAACCTTTTGAAACGCCTTCATTTAGTTCTCCGGGGCTGATTAACTCCAAATATTGCCAGTCTTAGAATAATCATTGACGAATAAGAGCTCCCGCATCGAGGCATCTCCGATCGAATTCCGACACGAACGGCAATCCTTCAAGGGTCACCGATCTCGCTGGTCCTATATCTCATCTACAATGCAGACCCCATTGAGAACTGCGGGAACGGCGTGACCACAACGACTGGGTAGATGGTGTTTGTTTCATGTCCAAGGGAGACAGCAAGCGTGGAACCACCAAGAAACCCAGAGTGGCTTGTCAAAAGCCGATTAATGGACCAGAACCCATGCCTCGGTCCCCATGCCTCGGTCTTTGATCCAAAAAAGTACGCACTCGTGCACTTCGCGAACATCCGAGAGGTCGACCCGCAGTTCACGTCGTTATCTCTACAGGGGCATAGAGTACCAGCAACGAGATCCGCCGAGGGCTATCAGGGCTACTGGCTAGACCCCGGATTGGAATTCCATCACCACCACGAAATGGCGGTTACGAAAGCAGCCGTATCTCTCCAGGCGTTACGGAGCTTAGCTGGTTCAACATGGGGGCCTCCATTTCTGCTATGTGCAGGATTTATCAAACTGTAGTCATCCCGCAGATGCTCTTGAGGCTGCCAGCATGGTATCAGCCTATGCTCATCAGTAAGACGAAGGCTCGCACCATTAGCCAATCGTTCGTGGGCATCCAGAAACAGGCCGCGTGCTTGATCAGTGGAGAATTCAGAACGACGGCAGCAGAAGCGTTGAACACAGAACTGCACTTACCACCAATCGCAATTCACATGAATCGGCTCGTGAAGGAAACGGCGCTACGACTACGGACAGGACCTGCATTCGCTGTTCTACCAACGATACTGCGACGTCGACCTGGGGACGAGAGAGACCGGTCTGGATGGACACCAATGGAGGCGCAAGCGTGGAAGAAGGGCGGGTGTCTCACGGCCCCCCCAAACACTTTGGCGAGGGAATGGGAAACCGGAAGGCTTTCGTCCAGGAGCCATGGCAAGCGCTACCAGAGGTGACCATCGAGGACAGAGAACTCGCCCTCGAACATCATATCCTGATGAAGACTCGAGAGAAAGACCCCTCATCCTCTACACCGATGGTAGTGGCATTGAAGGTAGGATCAGAGCAGCAGCAATCGTTGATCTCGAGGATCAACATGCTCACAGCCAGATGGGTGGCGATGACACGTCTACCGTGTACGCGGCAGAGCTCCGTGCAGTCGAGATGGCGCTCACGCTGGTTCTTGAAAGCACGGGGCCGTGGGCTAAACAAGTAAAGAACAGGGTTAGTCATCTTTGCAGACAACCAAGCGGCGCTGAAGGCGCTCCGTCGACCCCGGACGCCATCTGGACAGGTCTATCTGGCAGGCTGCCTTGACCTGATTCGGCGGCTTGCGGCCAGAGGCATTCGGATAGAACTTAGGTGGATCCCTGCCCACCAAGGAGTGATCAGTAACGAGATTGTGGATTAGCACGCAAAAGAAGCCGCCCGTGACTCGGACGGATCACAGAACCCTCACAAAAGGCATATCCATCTTGCAGCCGCAGTCAAGCGCCAGATCCGTAGTGACGCGAAGGAGAATTAAGTGGGAGAGGGAGTGGGCGAAGGAAATAACCAGCCGACCGACAAGACGTTTGATCGAAGCGCCAACAAAGAAGACGCTAGAATACTGGTCAGGTTTGCGCAAGGCAACAGCGTCGATTCTGATGCAGCTCCAGACCGGGAGAATCGGGCTCAACGCCTGCCTGCACCGTATCAACTGGCGCGAGTCAGCACGACGTGACTGTGATCTCGGCAACCAGACCGTGATTCACGTCCCGCTCGAGTGCCCGTTGCACCAGGATAAGCGTGACAGGATGTAGAGCGCTCTCTCAGTCCGGGAAATCGCTCTCCGTCGAAACGAACTCCTGACGCGGCCTGAGGCTCGCACAATTGTGGCTGAATTCATGGTGAAGACCGGTCTTCTAGTCAGGATAAGTGTATTATATTGATCAGTAGACGTCGCGATACAAATTGCGCAATGTCAAAGGCTGCTCACTAATACTTTGAGGTCTTGCCCAAAACTCATTACAACAAGATTCAAGCCGTGAATCATTGCAGCCCGTACACATTCTGCAGCGCTCACAAGACGGGACGCACTGGAGAGTGTCGACATGCTAGAGGATCAAACCCTGTTTTTTTATCCGTCTATATTAAGCTATCTGCCAATCGATCATGAAATTATCAGGAACTTCGAAGACAAGGCGCAAGTGACTTTGGGAATCGACATGTGGTGGACACTGATGGTGGACATCTTCCTGACTCAAGCGTTTTTAATCCAGGCGGGCCATTATTTGCGCTCCGTAGCTGGAAAAGGCAAATTTTCTCTCGCAGCTTTTAGTGCTTCGAAAGAAAATCCATTGAGTTTGCGAGACTACTCTATTGAAGAAGGCACAATGAAAAAGCAACGCTGACAAATATTTGAAATTGACAGTCCGTTTATCTTGTGTCACTTCACTTCGAGTCTCCACACCCGTAACGGTCCATGATGGCCCTGAACGAAGGGTCTCGCAAAAGTTCTATTGCGGTCGGCCGTTTTTCTGGGTCGTAGATAAAGACTTTCGACATGATAGATTGCACATGTTGCCGCTCGACCAGATCAGTATCGGGACGATGATATGCAATTTTCGCAGCAAGGTCATTTTCGAGATCGGGAGATTGAGACTGATCATACCATGAATCAAGTCCGCCGGGGTGTGTGTAGAGACCTTTCCACTGCTCAGGTAGGGGGCCTAAGCATTCAACCATACCACTCACAACTCCGCCCTCGAGAAATGTGGGAAACGGAGGAAATGTAAGGTAGAGCATAGAGAAAATAGCCATGTAGCTCCACATATCGCAAGCGAAACTTGGCTCTTGCTGATGAAGTCGATCCGGAGAGCAATAATGCATAGGTGGGTAGCCGTGTTGAGTGGTGAGGTCGCCAATTTTCTTTGCTAAACCAAAATCACAGAGATAGAATTCTTCTGTTCGAAGGTCTTCAGGAACTTTGACAGGGCTCACAAGCTCGCCCTGTTTCCAGAGATTGACAAATGGTATTATCTGCTTCAAAGGCCGACCGAGTAACTCATACTTGGCGCTTCTGCTGAGATCATCGACAGGAGTCATTCCCCACATACAGTTCCTTGCATTCAAATCTACATCATTTCTCTTAGTATATAAGAAAACAAAATAAGAGGATGTCGGCTCACCGCGATGTATGATTCCAGCTTTATGTAAACTTGCCACGGTCTCCAGTAACTGTCGAGCAGCAGACATACGAGAGGCCATTGGAGTCGTTTTTAAGGTAAGGGTGCAGATGGATGGCCCTTTCATGGGGAACACCAAGACCCTATGGTAGCTTTTATCGTCTCGGGGTAGAAAGAAAGTCGCACCATATATAACCAGGCGAGAGATATCCTGTACCGTTTTGATAATCTCGTCCTGGATTCGAATTTCGTTGTCGCCCCATTTCCCTAGGGCCATGACTTTGAGGGCTACGTTTTTCTTGTCTTGCAGGTCAAACGCCATCCAGACAGTTGAGCCACCACCAAAGCCAAGTTTATGCTCAACCAGGTATCTCTCGTTGAGCAATTCCCCAAGGCGAATGGGATAGAGGACATTTTGGTTCTCCTCTGTTTCGTACCTATGCCATGGCTCAACAAGCTCTTCGAGATCAAGCTCCTCTTCTTCATCCTTCACGAAGTCACCAAAATCTGTCGTGTTTCCGGTGGATGCCTCAGTTTTCGCCATTTCAGATGAATGTGTGTGGATGGCAGAGTGGATGGATAATGAGAAGATCTGGTGTGTCCCAAGGCGGAGGGAGATCAACCAATGTAGTGTCATTCGTCACACCGCCCGGCGGTGGCTCGTGGATGATTGCGATAATCAACTTCATGCGCTCAGCCCCAAATCCCCTCTTTCTGGATCTCACCACTCGATTCATCGGGCCCACTAGGACCGCTTTTCTTGCCGCCGCCTATTTTTATTCCTGCCGCTTTTGTTCATACTTGTGAGAACCAGTCGCGCTTCGCTGACACATGATGATCCTCGTGGCAGTCTAAGAGACAACCAATGACACGGTTCAATGCTCCCGATTTCGGCGAGCGATCACCATCAGTTCGATAATGAGGTTTCAGATTCAGAATCGTGGGTGGGCAAAGGGGTTGTGGGTTTCGTAGCTTACCTCCGAGGGGACTCCGTATTCGTTGAGATTCCTCAAGCGCCTCCTTTGAACCCCACTTTTGAATCACGTCAGCCTATTACGGAGAACTTAAGAAAACCCAGCAGTTGCATCGCCTCCTCGAGGCGCTTAGAGAAGCCAATAAAAAAAAATAGATTCAATGAAATTAAAACAAGATAAAAATAGAAGCAAAATCAAGGAAATTCTGGGTGGGGCAGAGGTGATCATGACCATGTTTCTTCCTGGCGCTTACGAGCGTAATTGCTTTCTCAAAGCGGCAAGCGAAACAACCAATACATGACTAATCCTCTACAATCGGGATGATTATGCTCCTTGATATAGGAAACATGTTGTGAAACCGCGCGGCTAAACCGATTGGGAAAAAAGAGCTTTCTGAGGAAACAATTGTTGGGTATGGCGCGTATCTATTGGCCATTAACAATCACTACATAGCTTGCGTGCGCGTTCCCGAGACGGGGAGCTTTTTTTGGCCTCAAGTGCTACGACCCCTGCTGGCTGGACTACTACATATATATGTGAAGCGCGTTTGAGACAACCAAGCAGAGCCATCAACCTTGATTCTCTTTGTTTTAATTCAAAAAGCTCAAGACTTTTTACTTCGTGGATATTTTTACCTCTATCATGGCTGCTCTGAACACCATCCCCGCTGCGTCCTATGTGGGCACCATTGATGGCATCAGTGTCGTTTGGGGCCCAAACGCAATTGCCAACCTACCTACAAACGCTGAAGCCTACAAAGTGAAATTGAACGTATTGAAGAGTGCCACTGAGAAAGTGGCTGTCGCGTGTGCTCGGAGGATAGGGAAAACCTCTGTCCGTATCTTGTATGAGGCCATACTCAATCCGGGCTTTGGCCACATTCATGAGTATCCTAATTGTCTTGCAGGGGCTCGTTTCACGACTCGACCACCAACACCGCGACTGGTGAAACAATGCCAGACCCATGCCATTGCTCAATTTCCCTCAACCCAGGAGGTGCCAAGGCCCACATTTACGTGACTAGCCCCAGGACGGTGCCGATCGAAAGCATGAGAGTTGTGGGAGAAAGTGTTGTTCCGAAGGGCTCCAAAACCCGGGACCCAAATTTGTCTATTGGTTCCTTACCTGCTATATAGCCCTAGGAATAGTCTGTCTTTTTAATGGCATGCTCGGCCATCTGTCAGAGCTCCCAGCCGGCTTGATGTACATAAGCTGCTATGGCTTTAGCACAGCACATTCATTGTCTTCAGTGTGAAGAATCGTGCTATAATGCGAGTCTTGGACAGTACGAATCAACTACTCAAGCTACTCAAGCTAAAGAAATACTCTGCATTGTGTTCATGTGTGCTAAAAGTACCGTCATGGCTAAACGAAGGAAGAACTTGGAACGAATAATACTGTACACACTCAACCACGTTCCGCTGCTTTAATCATGTTACAAATTCATGACTGGCATTCGTGTCGCAAGATAATCTGGCAAGTTCATCATAGTGAAGATTAAGGCCTACAGTTGGATGCATGGATGACTGACTTAATCTGCTCTGACCTCTCGCAAATGAAAGTTGAATAACCACTAGACTTGAATACGAATACGGACTGAGCCTAGTGGATAGTAGTTTATAATCAAACATGAAAGCAATACTGTATGCAGACTACAGCAGCTATATATAATTATGTATGTATCATTTCCCCGAATTTTAACTTGGACCCTCGTTGAGGCTCGTCATTTCCCGTTGCCATTGGCGATACTGGGCCGCCGGGAGGGCGCGACCGTGTGGGGGTTTGGAAAAAGGGGCAAAACAAGGAAGAAGACAAGGTAAACAGAAGGCGACAAGTCAATGGGATTCACAATGCAAAGAATCGGGTCCGAAAGGCAATCTTAAGGTGTAAATCATAGTTCAGTGTCACTTTGAATGTGCACGAGCTCGAGACAAGCACGTTGTAGCGGCTGGAGATCAAACCAATTGATGCAGAACGGGAAAGAAAATTGAGGCGTAAATCATTGCCATCATCCATTCAACCAAGATTTTTTTAATACTAAATCAAGTCTGTTGAATAATCGAGACATTGGTAGAGCAGGTTTACCAAATCGAGATGTTAACTGCAGGCGTGATCCAGCAACGGTCATTTGAAGGGCGGGTCCCCATGAGTCGCTGAGGACACAATAAGGCCCAGAAAGGCTTTATCTACTCTAAAACACTCTGTGATGAGGCGTGAACAGCATGAGGAAGAGGTAGCGGTTTCAGTTTGCTTCATGCGTCGGTGGCACGATCTGTTCCATTCTCCAACAGGAGCTGCTCAATTTCTGCGTAACCTCTGAAGAAAGCGATCTCCCTGCATATTTTGATATCCCGGATCTCAACGCTTCCGTTATCAAGACCACATGCCACAGATCGACTATCCGGAGAAAAGATGATATAATAAACCTCGGAAAACTTTCCCCGATCTGACATCTCGGAGATCAACGGCTCCGCATTCAAAACCCGTGGCCATTATTCTACCGTCCGGTGAGAATTCTATGGAGCCGATGCTACTCCCCGCGTAATACTTTTGGCTTAGTTCGCCCTTCTTGACGTCCCAGAGCATGACAGTTCCATCGTCATCGCCTGAGGCCAATGTTTGACAATCTGGAGAGAAGACGACAGATGCAATAGTTTCAGGGTGGCATTTTTCGAAGGTCCGGTATCTTCTTTTCCCAGATACTTGGGACTTTTCCTTAAGGGTTCGGAGCTCTTCACCAGACTTCACGTCCCAGAGTCTGATGTTTGTCTCGGAGTCCGAGGACGCCAGTATATTGTTATCAGGAGAGAAAGCCACGCATGATAAAATATCACATTTAGCCGAAATTGCTCTGCTTTTGCCCCCCTTAACATCCCAGAGTCTGATGGTAGCGTCGTTGGAAGCTGACGTCTCTCGCCTATCTAGCAATGTCGCCTACGGAGCGGCGTGCAATTCCTACCGCAACTCCGTTTTCGATGAAGAATCCCGCATCATGATCCTCATGGATCTGTTCAAGGTCCAAGTCGTTAGCGAGCGTCACATCGCAAGCAAGCCGAAATTGGGCTTTTAGGGTCTCGTCAATGACGTTTGTTTCTTGCCATGCGCTATATTCTCTCACAGCCGCATCTCGCGGTCCGTCGGTTCTGAGCTGATCCGCTTCTTGCCTCTGTTTCAGGGGAGGCAGAACGGACGCCGTGATCGGACTGAATGCTGCTGGCTGCAGAGAAGGCTGCGCTCCCATAAAGTTGATGCTGATAGGTGGGCAGCTTCCGGGGACGAGCGATTTATTGCTCTTGGATTGTGAAGTTTCCAGCCTCTGCTGCTCTTTCATATAGAATTCTTCACAGCCTTACTATAATAGGTATAGTATTAAGCGGGATAAAGTTCAAAAATATATTAAAAAGAAAGAAGTGGGTGAAGCTAATTTCGAGCCGCCCTGTAGTATTCTCGCCGTGTCTGTAGATGGAATTCCGACTGGGCTAGAATGTTATATGTATGTAGCCTCGAAGTACTTTTGGTCTATATTAGAACTGGCCTCTACTAGGACGAGGGGTTTGAATTTCGGGCTTTGCTGCTTAATTGCAGTGAGAACATGGTAGACTCTAGTCTATCCTTTCTTTGAGAGAAATTGCGACAGGGACTGGTACGTATTAGGCAAAGTGCCTGGAATTCCCTGACTATTGGATCAAGTATGCGTTGATTAAATGCCTATTTCCGTTCAAAATTTTAAACTGTTTGAGACGTAATATTGAGGCGAAATTGTACATGCTAGGTATAGTAGAATGCGAAATGAACAGGCACTATTGCAATTGATTGCATCTTCCCACACCGAGTCTCTAGATATGCGGTCCTATGATCTACATCCGGGCATTCTGAATGACACTGTCACGTTCTTGATGGTATATTCACAGCGAGGAATTCGCCATGGTGTAATCGCAATGTTGCATCCTGGGTGTTTAACCTGCCTGAAATCTGTATGGACTAATTTGAAGTATTGACGTGCTTTGAGGGCTTCCAATTTTTCAATCAATCCGACGAGATCGGAGATGCTCTACTTCGAACGTAGTAGCCCATCAAAATTATGACATGTATTCTAGCTAAACACTTCAGCAGCAGCCGCTGACCGGTGCTTGTGTTCGTCTTATCGGAGCATTTGGGGTACAGTACAATGGTCGTTTCGTTTCCTGATGAGTATATCATTCCGTTCCCTGGGCAAATGCGGGTCGGCGTGATCGTTGCTACGAGCGTTCTATCCTGATATCTACGAGAACGGAGCGAAGAACTCAGCAACCGTCCGGCGCTGGAAATCGTCGTTGAAGGAGATCCTAAATCACCTAGGGCGGACCGCAATGCTAAGAGATCAGTCGCTACATTCACCGCAGGCATATCAATGTCCGCTTATTGGCAAAAGGTCTAGATATTCCGTAGCATCGGCCTCGTACATCCACAAAGCAGCCCTCTTAAGTCAATGTTTATTTTTGATGCTATTCTCAAAACCAGTACCTCTCGACAAATCTATTGTCATCGCTTCACACGACCGCCCACCGCGCTAACTACATTTGAGCATAGCGCCTTAGGATGCCGTCTTCGATAAGATTTACGCAACCATCTCGTAGGGTCCGGCTGTCCCTTTCTGCCTGACTAGTCAAGAATCGCTTCCGGCATAGGCGACCGCAGGACACGTTGGCACCAAATAACAGCTTATAATGATGGATCAGCTTGATAGCGGGGTTAGTCTGTTCCTCGCCTCGCGCCTCACTCCCACGAAGTAAATTCATCTATTCCTCGAACGGCACGATCTCGAAATCATACCCACTCTACTTGAGACTGTCTAGCAACGTAGTCCAAGAGAACTCGCAAGGGTTGCACACATTATAAATCGAATCATCTATTAGGGTCACTGTCGAGCTATCGTATATATAATCCGCTCTATAGTCGCGGCCAAGTATAGAATACGCCCTGGCGATCTCGAGGGTGACTGAGGCAAGCGTGTTCATGGGGAGCCACGAACATATATAGGGCAGCTTAGGGAGGGCTTTCAGGGTCATCGCGGAATGGATTATGAGGGGTAGCGCCTCACTCTCCTTCCACTAGCCCGTCTCTGAATGCCTAGAGACTTATCCAATCCGGAGAGAAAAGGCCTTTGCTCCCGACCGACGTGCATTACTCACTATGTGCTCCCCCACGAGTTCGACTACCCATAGCCTGGCAGCGCGCTGTCCAGGCGCAGAGGCTCCTTGGTGACCTTCACGGAGGACGCCCCTAGAGCTGTGGACACGGAGGAGCAAAAGATTATAACCGTAGGCTTGGGCCTCCTCACCGATAGGGAGAATTCGATCAGGTTGTAGAGGCCCTAAACGTGCGGTTCGAAGAAGGAGAGAGGTAGGTGGAAGTTGACCGGCTATGTGGCGTGAATGATGAGAGAGACCGATTCGTGTATATGTCTAAGGATGTCTTCCTCTGCATCCAGGCCAAAGCCCCACTGGTCGAGCGCGCCGTTCAAGGCCACGATCTTGGCGGTTTGTTCACGGGAAATATGGAGGCCTCTCTTAGCTAGGCCGCCTAGTACGGCATCGAAGGGCGAGTGCCGTCGCGTTAGATAGAAGATCGTTGTAATCGTTTCGTCGTTTAGCAACTCGAACAGAACGTACGCGCTAATCGAGCCAGTCGCTCCTATCAAAAGCTATATACCGTTAGACGTATGCCATAAGACACCCGGTCGGCTTTATATACTACGTTCTTTGACTCGGGCAGGACCTTCTGGTGCGGAAGATACTTTCTAAACCGCGAGTACTTCTTAATCTATTCCGCTATAACTAATGTACCATTGTCGCGCGCCGCAGAACCTAGGCCCCTTGTAAGAAGTAGATGGTTTAGGCGAGCTATGATATACTACCGCTTTCCCACACTATATTGTCACTAGGTACTCGATGCCGATCGAACCGGAACTGCTTGAGAATTAAACGCCGCAGCTGGATCGACTTAAGACTATCTACACCCTCGATATATATATTAGTAGTAGCGGAAGAGACGGGGATCCCTAACGCATCCCGACACAGTCGGAGGAGGCAAGTTTCCATCGCCGCTAGGTCAAGGCGGTAACCGCCATAAGGAACGGCGTCCCTAGCAAAGAGATGTTCTATCCGCTCGGTATACGTGCGATAGATCTAGGCTCGGATAATGGAACCTTTGTCGGTCCGAGGCAGCTCGGCGCCGTGTGGGAGGATAGCCACTATATTACGTGATATCTAAGAAAAGGCCTCTGCCCGAGCATTAGCCTCCGCGATATAAGGCCAGATTGTCTCGAGGAACTCGGCGTCCGGAAGCCGCGGTGCGTTAGGGGCCTCCTTGGCGCGCTAGATCAAGAGGCCCAGGAGGGCCTTACCAATCCCCACGACGACCGCTTCGCCGATCTAGGGATACTGGTTAATATAGCCTTCTATTGGAAGTGGCCACACTTTTTCGCTGTTGACGAGGGTAATACGGTCGTCCAACCTAGCGATATACTTCTAGCGGCCTGGGATCGTGGGGTGAGGGCTAAAGACGTCCTGGGAATGGAACGATCTATAGGGCTTATCCGAGTTGGATGTCGTTAAGGCCGGATAACCGGCTAGATAGACGTATTCGTAGAGGCGCTCACTACGGGGCTTTATCTAAATATAGGACCGGAGGTTGGCGAAAAACCTCAAATAGTTCTAGAAGGGGTCGCCTAGGGGCCGTGAGATTGACTCCGCCACTAAGCCCGCCTCGGTCCTAACCGTTGGTTAGTAGGCGATTCGCTCGCATCGCCGTTCACTCACAGGCTAAATGAACCTCCTAGATAGACGCCCTCGAGAACGAGACGGTCCCCTAGACTATTAGGGCAAGGTGCGCCTCCGTACGCGACCAGCTTGCATGCCTTCAATACCGAAATCCCGCCTGGGTGGTCTACCAGTAACTAGAGTATATATGGCACTGCTACTACGAGCTCCGGTTAGGCCTCTCTAATCGCGGAGATGACACTCGCCGCTATAAGTGGCAGCGCAGCATTCTATATATACGCGGTCTTACGTATGTATATAGCCTGCAAAGCGGTGGACAAGCCATAAAGATAGCACTAAGGTAGAGGACTGAACGTGGTGAGTCCGGGACCTCTAGGGGGATAGGTCATAAGCGCACGATGCGAAAGGAAAATCGGCTTGGGACTACCGGTGGATCCCGAGGAATGGAGAATCAGGGCGATGTCCTTGGGGTTATGTTGTCGGGGGAGGGCCACGGGGTATATCTTAGCTATATTGCTCGCGGAGCACGAGCGTATCGGAGAACATTTCAGGAGCTTCTGCCGCAGGATATCGCCCACTATTGCGCGGATCGCAGGCGTTCGCCTATATATAATTGTCTCATAGCCGACGGTCTCCAGCAAGGCAACGCTCGCCGAACTAGATAGTCTAGGCGAGATCATTATGACCGTATAGCCCAGTCGACTTAGAGCTAAGAATATAACGACTATGTCGAGATCTGACCTCGTTAGGAGTGCTATAATTAGACGAGAGTTATGGACCTATATAGCATATCATATTATTAGCATCACCGCGCAAAAGGACGTTAGTATATATACCGCTTACACGCCATCGCTATCTAGTCTCGCAATCGTTTGATTGATCATAGCATCTAAGTCCTGTCCAGTGTAAGACCGATAGGATACTGGGCTATCTTCGGACTGGGGATACGCGAGGATGGGATGCTGGATAGCGTCTGCTACACGTAGGCGGATTAAGTCGTTAAGGATTTTCAATTCCCCAAACTCTAACGCTAAGAGTGTCGTGCAGGTAGGAAGAGTGGATTGCCCTATGGTATCGCTCTGGCCGTCCATTATAAAGGCCGCGGGACGTTTGTATTTACTATACGGCGAAGAAAGGAGGAGCTTGGCGGAAGAATGAATCCTACTAAGCAACGAAGAGGCTCGTACCCTACTATACTTATAGCGTGACCCCTATAAACCACCGTTATTGGACTTAGTTGCTAACTGGGTCCTTCTCTCGTGTCTAAGCCTCTTCTGGTGAACTGACCCTGTTGAGCCGTTGCCTCGCTCGCTTAGAATAAAAAACAATGAAGTTATAACTTATATAGTCCAATATCTAGTTAAACGTAAAGCTAACTCAATGGAATGAGGAATGACCTTTGTAATAATAAAAGGTCTATGCATTTCGTCATTTGAGCATATTGATTTTCTGGCCCGGGAAGATTATCACATCTATTTGATTAGTCCAATTTCTTTAGTTAATTGACTCGTTTCGTCTGCTTCACCCTTCCCTACCATCAATACTCTAAAGAATAAGCTCATATTATCGTCTTAATTGTGCCGCTGCATAGAGACAGCTTTCGTAGAGGGTTTACTATATGACCGAAGCTAACTAGGCTCTCACCGGAGTAGAACTTAAGTAATTGCAAGGCCTTTTATCCTATCTTTGCTTCTGTTGTCCCACACTGGACTTAGGCTGCTCTTCAAGAATAATTCCGTGCCTGTGACTTAAGCTAACTCTTCTATACTAATGGCGAAGCACGTTAAGCAAGATACTATCGATGTTCTATATATATACGTATAGACTACTTATGACTTTTTCAAAGACGTATAGGTTCTACGAGCCTTGTCTTAGGACAACGGCATATAACTAGCGACTAGCCGTTTTACCTATATTGGACATTTATATATAGTTGCGAGTTTGGAAATGGCATAAAGTCTTATGAGCACTTAAAGTACAAAAGTCAAATGTAGATCTTAGCTTCCTCGAAACGGTCGTTTAAGTACTAGTCTCTAGCACCACGAAGAGGTGTCTAACTTTTCGCTGGAGGGAGCTAACGTTATAAGGCCACGCGGGGGCACTACAACACCTGGGTTTCTCACGCCTAAGCAGGGGAGATCTAACGTTACAAGGCCACGCGGAGGCACTACAACACCTAGGTTTCTTATGTCCGAGCAGGGGAGATCTAACATTACAAGGCCACGCGGGGGCACTACAACACCTAGGTTTCTTATGTCCGAGCAGGGGAGATCTGACGTTACAAGGCCACGCGGGGGCACTATAACACCTGGGTTTCTCACGCCCGAGCAGGGGAGATCTAACGTTATAAGGCCACGTGGGGGCACTACAACACCTGGGTTTCTTATGTCCGAGCAGGGGAGGACAGAAAGTGTTCTGAATCCTGGCCTGTAAACCACCGCGAAAGGCTGGGCTTTTATGGGAAAAACTAGGGCGGCCGAGAGAGACCATTTGCACAGACCCCAACTTTACATTTCCTATTCCAACTCGCCCTATACTTACTATTCCCTTCAATTCGACCTTGTATAAGTTGGCTTTATGACAATAGAAAGCAGCCGGAATGATTAGTTCACGTCGACAAGAATTCAGTTGAAGCCAACAGGAACCTGCGGCCCGAAGCCATAAATTCCCCACTGGTTCTCGATAGCAATAGCTGCCCACGAGCAAAACACCAAGAAAGTGTATGCTTGTTGCATAGCTGCGGAGAGGGACATTAATGAACAAATTGACTCTTTCGCAAACTTGGTGTAACTATCGCGTCGTCTAGATGAATCCAAACTATGTGTTCTTACGTTTTTGGGGAGCAACTCCAATTACTTATATTGAATTGCCTATATTGAATTTGTTCAGATCCAATTACTCAAATCCAATTGCTTAGATCCAATTGCTCAGATCCAATTGCTCAGATCCAATTGCTCAGATCTAATTGCTTAGATCCAATTGCTTAGATCCAATTGCTTAGATCCAATTGCTTAGATCCAATTGCTTAGATCTAATTGCTCAGATCCAATTGCTTAGATCTAATTGCTTAGATCTAATTGCTTAGATCCAATTGCTCAAATCCAATTACTTAAATCTAATTGCTTAGATTCAACTGATTCGTTTTAGAGCTTGCAGATTCTATCATCCGCCTAATATTGATTTTTTCGAAGTGTTGGAGTGTGTTCATTCAGCTAGAAACTGCGCCTTGGCGTGGAAAAGACGGACTTACCCTCGGAACGACTTATTAGTGGGTAGGCCGGACCCATAAGCATATAGAAGATGTATTTTCCACCACGGAGTCGACCTAGATCCTACTGGTTGTCCAAGCTACGATCTACTTAGGGAAGTGCGGATTCTCTGGCCCCCCAAGAACCGAGCAGTCTTGTTCGTTCAGAAAAATGATATACATCTATTACCTCTAGCACACAGCATAGACTATATAAATTTAGCGGACTCGGGCCCCCACTTAGAGCATAAGCCTCTAGGCTAGAACTCGGTCGATTCCAACGGTCATAAAAAGCTAACGGCTAATTAGTACCGTCTATTTGACCTAGCATGGCTTGACTGTTCGAGGAAGGCTTAGTGGGTAAGTCCGAAAATTTCTAGGATTGGGTAGGATCATCAACATCTGTTTAATTCAGTCCCTGAATTTATGCCCTCACGGACTGGACCCCACTATTGCGCGGATTAATAGACCGGCCGCTTCTTTTCACTATAAAGATTAGTTTAGTCCCTGGATTTTCTATGCCCGAAAGCATTTTCGAATAGTAGCTTCCTTAATATCGTTTGCTAGCTGCTACATCTCACTTAAACTCAATCGCATCTTTTTATGCCCAAAAGACATGCTGAGGGACGCCACGCTCTCTCGAACCCAGGCTAGAGCCCCTCCCCTCCGAGCGGCCCCAAGAATATAGGCTAGCGTATCTACTACCTAAGTAGGTCAGCCTTATCCTACGAGCGCCGGCAATTCACTTCGTCCCTCCAACTAGGGCACCTAGCGGCAACCATCGGTATGCTATTGTCACGATGTGGAGATTATCTAGGAGCCTCGCTAATCTTTAGATCTATTACTAGTAGGCACTACCGGAGGGCATCCCAAAAAACGAAGTGTAGGAAAGCGCCAAAAACGATCCCGATCATGCCGATTGTAGAGTTGTCTTCAAGAGGGCCGACAGAGATCGCGCGCAACTAATCGCGTAGCTTAATAGGCAACGTTAGGTAGCCGCCGAGACTACACGGCAGTTTGGCGTCGAGAGAACCAGGCTTAATGGACAATCACGAAAGCTTAATTTGGACCTGTAGGTAGCTAAGGAAGAGGTCCGCCAGCTGAAACAGGAGAATCTGGATCTGCAGAAGCGCTTTGACGAGTCAACACTAGACTAAGCGATCTATGTGCGACGGGACGAATACGAAAATACTTTAGACGAGTTAAGCAAGCTCTCTTTATCCGTGACAAGGGCAATTGGATCGAAAAAGGGCAAGTCCATAAGCGAGGTCGAGAATATTTACATAACTAAAGACATACCCCCTTCCGATGTTCTATAGAGCCCTTAGGTATAGCCCGAGTAGTTTAATATACTCGATAATAACGCCGTTGCGGATGATATGGCACTGATGCTGTCTACATCCAAAGCTCTGGCGCTACTAGACTTTGATATGTACGGAGAAATATCCTAAGGGGTGATATCGTCGAAGCTAGATAGTATTTTGCGAGATCTATGTCAATCTAATCTTCTTTTCTTTTGCATTATACGCTCAGCGGCTGTCGGTCCAGTATCGGTAAGGGTATATCTCTCAACATAACCGACGACTACTACTAGATGGAATTAGAGCACATCCCCTCCGACTAGTGAATTGAGATTACCTTAAGCCTTGGCTTCTGGCGAAGACGCTTGGGGAAAAAAAACTTAATTTCCGTAGACAGATCACCGTCGTATAAACTTCCTGGTCTGGACTGGCCGGCTTGGTCGTCAAAGCTGCCCACATCGGAATGAACACGGCGTTGATGACTTATATATCTTAGAACTGGGGCAAAGAAATGATCTCTATGGATAATCGTCGATTAACGGAACAAGCTAGTTATAAAAGCTGTTAATGATAGAGTTTGACCGGTTATATCTCCACCACCGTATGCCCCACTCCGTGCAGCGCGTAGCGTCCTGTATGTGATTCACCCCTCCCGTATATCAGCCGCAATCTTAAATGGACTGCACGCTTATTCACGTTTATACTAAGGCCGAGAAACTACGCTTAGGAGATAACGACGAGACAATTGTCCCTAGGGATATAATATGGCATACCGTAGCTCTAACGGGGGCCAGGGAGACCTAGATTTATATAGGTCAGCCGAGATTCGAGCCGGCCCGACGAGAGGAACGGATCGATACGCTATAGGATAAAGAAAAATAAGTTACATCTATTTCGAGAACGGCGTAGGGGCAGGACGATTAGATTTCGTTAGGCGGTATTTTTCTATAGCTATAATCTTATACGCAATGGTGTCTTGGCCACAACATGAACTATAGATTGATCGTCTAAAAGGGGATAAAGCCTTCGATCCGGTGGATCGCAAGGTTAGTCTATGCCTAATACGGTAGGAGTCTCTTGCGCACGGTGCTCGTCTAGGACGACCAAGCCGAACCGTCCGAGGCGGATGGTGAGACATTTGAGAGGATCACCTTGTCGTGATCTTTGCCTACCCAAAAACACTAGTACCGAATAAACGAGAAGAGCTATAGATCGAGGCCAGTAGGTTAAAGCCTTACGGCAGAGGGTGGTCTCCTAATATTGATTATAGTCTGTCATTATTGGCGCTCTATACGGGTAACAAGGCCTAAGCTCTAGGCGATAACGGAATGGTTATTGAAAGGATCGTCGAAGCTCGGTGGGTGTTCGAGACTTTCCCTAGGCGGGGCTGTAGGGCTGGCATGATTAGGTTACTCAATGGATCTTCGTATAAGTCTAAACCGTGGAGCTTACGGGAACAACGGCTGCTTGTAGAAAATGGTAGCGATCCACCCGATCGACGTTGGTGGGTCGCTTATATATAGGACACCGTTAGTAATCTGTT